GCCCTCGAAACAGCACCACCTCTGCTCTTTTGCAAACCTCACTGGGCGGGGAGGGGAATCTACTTGGTGCCAGAAGACCCATTTTTCTTAAAGCCAGAGGACCCTCTGTGGTCCAGAAAGATAAATGCAGACAGGCCAAGCATGCAGGAAGAAGGCGTGGGCAGCCAAAGCAGCGCAAATGAAGCGAGGTAGACGTTTCCCCCAGGTAGCAAGGAGGATGAGGGAGGACCCGTCTCGGCTGTGGGATCCCTTCCCAGACCCAGACAGAGGTGCAGAGATAACAAGGAGATAACTACTCCCAGTATATTAGACACAGCAGGGGAACAAGCTGCAGCCCTGGGCTCCTTGAAAGAGTTCATCCCCAGCGAACAAAACAGGCATTATGAAAGCAGCAGGGGAAGAGTGGGGCCGTCTTTCCCTTTCAAACAGTGCTCCTCAGAGAAAGGACAATGGTGAGTTGATAAATGCAACTAATTGTGAGGCTTCAGGAAGTGTGTAAGTGCGTCCCTTAAGACTGAAAGGGAAAGGGCTTGAGGGGCTTTGGCCAACCTCAGGGGTAACTGCCAGGCTTGCTTATCGCCTAAACAAACAGGGTAATAAAGTGCTTAGTTATCCGGGTGTTGCCAACTAACCACCCCTCCCAGCTCCTAACCACACATGGAGGTGTTTGAGTGACTGTGATTAGATGCAGAAAAGGGGGGAGTTGCCCATACAGTGAAGGCAGGGGTCAGAATCTTTTGGCTTCTTTCCAAATGGAAAAAAAAGAAACCTGTGATTCAGGGTCCACTGCCCGGGGCTGGACACTGTGCTGGCTGGGAAAGGTGATGGCAGAGGAAGTGAGGGGAGTGAGAAAGGGAGAGCAGGAGAAAGCAGAAGATGATTCTGGGATGATGGCTTCCAGATAGCTGCACTCCCTCCCTCCCTGGAGCATAGACAGATGCAGGGATCTGTGTGTAAGTGAAGCACCGGCCGGGGCTCTCAACAACTTCAGATGTCAGCCAGAGCTCTTTGCAGACAAAAGATTGAATCTCTGGGATTGGCTTTCCAAATGGTGCAGCACCATCTTACCATCATTTCCTCCTTTGTTCATCAGTTTAGGATCGTGGGGCTGTTGCCAAGAGCAGTGAAGAAAGGAGACTGAATATTCAGATGGACCGATGGCTAACATTACACCGGGGAATGAGGGTGGCGAGGTCAAATAGGGATGATTTTCACTTCTCTTTCTCGCTCTCATTTCCTCTGGAGGGGCGTTTGACCCCTCCCAGTATCATTGAACTGCCTGCTTCCTGTCTTCTCTTCACTCTCAGCAGAAGTACCCTCTCAGCTCAGGCTAGAGGCAAGTTACCTTGGAGGGGAAGCCTAAAACCTTTGGGGGAGAAAAGGGTCACCAAAGAAAAACGTATCAGGGGCAGCCCCCAGGCCCTTGTCCTTCACTCCATCTAGAGCCCTTCTCCATTAGCTAACGACACTCTTAGATTCCTGCCCAAAACACTCAATCTCCCTTCTCCTCCCACAGCCAAGATGTGGCTCGCTTACCTGGCATCAGGGTGTTTACCCAGTGGCTCAGCTCCTTACTGACTCACCTGGTCTTTGGAACCTTGAAACATTCTTGATCAGATTTATTTCCCTAACACCTCCCATTCCAATCCAAGAAAACTCATTCCCAGAGGACTGCACATCAGCCTTTCCTTCTTGTTTCTGCGGGACTCCAATTCCACATCCTGCCTGTGGGCATTGGGATTGAAGCCCAACTGCAGTTCTGGAAGCATTGGCGGTGGAAGGTATGAGTTATGTAGAAAGTTCCAAATTAGGAGATCAGTCACAGACATTAAGTGGCCTGACTAAAGCTCAGTTCCTAACACACAGTTGGGAAGAAGCATCACCAAAGACATGAGTCAACTGGTGCTGTTCCAAGTGGCCAGACCTAGTGACCCTGTGCTCTCGTGGCTGCCTTAAGAGCACATTGGAGCTGGACATTGACTTTAGAGGAGAAATGCAGGCTGTGCTGTGGGTATTTGAGGACCATTTGGCTCGGTTTTTAAATTTATTTCAGTTTGTACAGTTGCTCCGGGTTATTCTATCCCTACATCATATCTTTGTCTCCTGAGCTCATGAGTTCTCCATGTGTGCTCAGAGCATTTCTCAGAGAAGCTGGAGGCCTTGGCTTTACTCATCTGGCTCAGATCTGGATCTGAGAGCTGGATCTGGAACTTGAAGGTCCTAACTTCCTTTCCTGAACTTACTTGGCTTCACAAAGAAGTGTGAAGAGAGCACTTGGGTGCTGGAGAATCTTCTCACGTGGCTCATAGTCCACATATTCACATCAACACTTGAAGTTTAACCTTTTTTCTAAAGAAATAAAAGTCAGCAGATCACAACAAGGGTGACAAATTAATCAACAAGAGCTTTTTCAGCAGGCTCTTATAACATGTATTTTTTTTTTTTTTTTTCTGAGGAAGATCAGCCCTGAGCTAACATCCATGCTAATCCTCCTCTTTTTGCTGAGGAAAACCAGCTCTGAGCTAACATCTATTGCCAATCCTCCTCCTTTTTTTTCCCCAAAGCCCCAGTAGATAGTTGTATGTCACAGTTGCACATCCTTCTAGCTGCTGTATGTGGGACGCGGCCTCAGCATGGCCAGAGAAGCGGTGCCTCGGTGCGTGCCCGGGATCTGAACCCAGGCCGCCAGTAACAGAGTGCACGCACTTAACCGCTAAGCCACGGGGCCAGCCCCTATAACATGTATTTTTAAAGTCCAGATATTGAAGTAAAATTTAAATTGTATGAGTTTTGTAATTTGTGAGGTTCTTTTTTTAGTTTGTATATTTTTTAAAATTTTTAATTATGGTAAAATACTCATAACAAAATTTACCATCTTAACCACTTTTAAGCGTACAGTTCAGTAGTGTTAAGTTAATTCACTTTGTTGTGCAACCAATCTCCAGAACTCTTTTCATCTTGCAAAACTGAAACTCTATACCCATTAAACAACTCCCCATTCTCGCCTGCCCCCAACCCCTGGCAACAACCATTCTACTTTCTGTCTCCGTGAACTTGACCACTCTGGGTACCTCATGTAAGTGGAATCATACAGTATTCGTCTTTGTGACTGGCTTATTTCATTTAGCATAATGTCCTCAATATTCATCCACGTGTCAGAAATTCCTTCCTTTTTAAGGCTGAATAATAGTCCGTTGTATGTATGTACATTTTGTTTATCCATTTATCCATCAATGGACACTTGGGTTGCTTCTATGTTTTAGCTACTGTGAAGAGTGCTGCTATGAACATGGGTGTACAAATATCTGTTTGAGACCCTGATTTATATAAATTATGTTTTGTAAAGTTGAGAGAAGGAATGATCCTAGAAGAATTCCATATCCCATGGTTTTACATTTTTTACCATTTGGAAGTGCAGCACTAATTTCACCAGGTAATATCTTTATAGCTTCTTACCATGCTTCTTACCACTTTTCAAGGGTGTCTTGTGCTGTTCTTCAGCAATATGTGAGTGCTTTGAGAATTGCCATTAAATAGAAAGTAGCAGCAGTTCAGCTATGTCTCAGTGACTGAGACACTCTGACCAAGGGCAGAATTGTTACGCTTGGTGTATTACTAAGAACCACCGGTCCAGTTTCCCCTCCTATGGGACCTGAAGTCCCACACCACCCTTCCCCAGGCCAAGAAAGCTCGTGGCCCCAGGGTGAAGTTGGTGAAGTGCGGTGGCAGTCTGCTCCACCACTGAGTGCCCTTCTCACCAGCAAAGACCTGTAAATAACAGCTGTGATCCTGTTTCAAAGTGAGAAAAGGAGCAGGGGCTGAGGGGTTGCTGAAATAATTTCATGAAGAAATTGATCAAAGAAATCATCTGTGAATGAATCTTAGAGAAGGGAGAGCCAGCCAGCCATGTGGACAAATAAGACTCCTCCTCTGCCAAAACCAGCCTCTCTTTCATGCCCTGCATTGTCTGCAGGCACGTATAAGCCATATTCTAGATCATTTGGCATTCAGACAGCTAAGTCGGCTCCACTCTCAGCTCAGAGATGATTGGGGGCCTGAAGTGTTAGCATTCTGCCCTCCTGCAAGGAGGAAAGGGAATCTGATTCAGGAGCCAAAGCAAAGCTTATTCATCTCATCTCATCTTTTAAGACCCCGAGACAGAGTCCTCCAGAGCCCCCTAGACACAGGGTCCTCCAGAATTAAATGAATGAAAATCAAATGCATATCCATTACAGGAGAAATAGCAGGGAAGTAGGGCGAGAGTGACAGATTCCGAAGAGCAAACATCCACCTTTGTGCTTCTGTCGTCTTAAAATTCATCCTCTCACCTGCCAGCCTTGAGAATTGCCTATTTACATAACTAGCTGCCTAAAATGGAATATTAGATAATGTTACATGGCGGCTCACTCAATTTGAGCCCATCCCCAGGATATGAGAGTGATCCAGAAGTCTTCCGACAGCATGTAGCAGGGCACGCGGGCCTGCAGCCATGCCTCTGTGTGGTGTGAGCCTGTCAGCACTCCTGCGCTAAGCAGATGTCAGGTCCGATCGTCGGGGTGGGAGACCCGCCAAGCATCAGGGGGAGGGGGCGTGACTCAGCAAGTGGCACAGTGGCACACCGTCTTCAGGGGACAAACAGCATCACTTCCTGAGCTTCGCAGCAGGCTCCTTGTTCTGCCCAAGGTGCTGTCTTGGAGACAGTGACATATAGGGACTGAGAAGGGGGGAGCTGCAGGATCTATGGGGACAACTGGTACAGGAGCTAATCAGTCAGCTCTGATGCCATCCCTGGCGCTGTGCCAGCCTCGCACCCCCTGTTGGTCCTTTCCAAGGCACGAATTTCCCTCCCATCAAAACTGGAATCACGCTGCTCACTTATAGGAGGAGTATAAATAAGTGATAAGGAAGCGTTCTGATGATGATGAGCAGGTATGGCTTCTCAGCGGAGCAGATATATCAAAGAAGGCAATTGTGTGTGTGTGTGTGCATTTCTTTTTCAGCGTTCCGGTTCCTGTAGTCAGTTTAGAGAAAATTCCTAACCTAGTGAAGGCAGATGGTGCCAATGTCAAAATGAACTCTACAACCACTACCGCGGCCACCTCCTGCTCCACTGCATCCTCTGCCGTCTCCACGCCACCTTTAATTAAGCCGGTCTTGATGTCCAAGTCAGTGCCACCTTCCCCAGAGAAGATCTTAAATGGCAAAGGAATTTTATCCACCACAATAGACAAGAAACACCAAAATGGCACCAAAAACAACAACAAGCCTTACAGGAGACTTTCAGGTACGTGTCTGCATCCTTAGAGTCTGGCTCATGATTAGACTGAAATTGAGTCACATCCGTAACCAAGGAGTGATGTGTTCTTATAATTAAGCAGGTCTGTTTCATTTTAAGGGGGTCACAGAGTTTACCTGCCAACAGGACCCCCACCTCAAATGCAAGGAAGAACTGGTTCTCTTATTCCCAGGCCAGATGAGGTCTCTCGTTTGGCTCAGTGCTTAGCGGGAGTTACCCTAGTGACCCAGGAAGCAGGATGCTCTGCACCAACCACAACAATCCGTGGATTCCGAGGGTCTTGTTGTGCTGACAGGCTGAACTGCCCCTGGGTTCTGTGGAGACTTCACTGCCACGAAGTTGGACAATCCACAGTGATATCGCATGGTAGCTCAGGGCAGGCTGGAGACAGTCCCCTTGGTGCTGTCTGCCCCACTGTGTCCTTTGTCCACTTGGCTTCCAGGTCGATTCCGTGGTCTGGGGCTACAGCTGTCTTTCCCACATAATCAGGTTGGAATTCCCATCCAGGAACGCTTGGACTGGCACAGCAGAGGGGGCGTTGAGGGGTCTCTGGGATCTACTTCTTGGTTGTCTGAGCAGACACTCAGGGTGCCCGGAAAGGTGCACGTGGCCAGTCTTTGAGGCAATGGTTGCCCCCTGGGGCCCCCATGTGGATGATATTTGCTTTGGATTTGTCGTAGAACTAAATCTGGCAGTTCTACTTTCTCCAAAAGACCAAGAAAGGCTATAAACTTTATAACTTCTTCACACACTGTGGGCATTTAGCAAATGTTGACCAGGAAAAAGAAAATACAGTGAAAGTCCCCCTGTGAGAGAGAAACTACATCCTCTGGTATGAGCGTAATTCTTAAACACCCCAAGAATGGTGGGTCATTTTTATTTTCTACTTCGTGTTTATCTGTATTTCAGTTTTTCTATCTTACATTTGTAACTTTTTTGTGTGTGTGTGAGGAAAACCAGCCCTGAGCTAACATCCAATGCCAATCCTCCTCTTTTTTGCTGAGGAAGACTGACCCTGGGCTAACATCCGTGCCCATCTTCCTCTACTTTATATGGGATGCCGCCACAGCATGTCTTGATAAGTGATGCGTGGGTGCACGCCGGGATCCGAACCAGCGAACCCCCGGCCTCCGCAGCAGAGCGCACACACTTAACCGCTTGCACCACCGGCCTGGCCCGCATCTGTAACTTTTTAAAAAATTATTTCTTAATAGTACCTCAGTCCCAAAGCATTCAAATGACACAGGCATTTCACCCTAAAAATCTCCGCATGCACTATTCACCCACTGTCAAGAAAGCAAGGTGGAGCCTGGTGCTCTCCTTGAGCGTTGTGGGGCCACAGGGTGTGGGCGGGAGCCCCCAGCTCCCGGCTCTCCTCCTGAATGGAAAGTTCACTTGCCTTCTGCACAGGTGAGGGCAGCGTCCCTGGAAAAGCCAGTAGGCCTGGCTGGGCACAGTGTCCAGAGGCTGTGGTTCCTCGTCATGGCAGAAGCGTGACCGTGGCTTCCAGCCTGCACCCCAATCTGTCGTTGTTTGGGGATTTTTTGCTGTTTGTTGGGTTTGCATTTTGTTGGTTGTTTTGTCTCACTGGGTCTTTTGCTTGTTTCTATCTCACTTTCACATTTGGCAGCTAGCTCCTACCCCCGGCCAGACAACCTGCTCAATTCCAGGCCAACACAAGTTCTGGTGTGGATCTGGGCACAGGTCTGCCTCAGACGGGCCCGAGGGAAAGAACTCCGTGCCAGGGAGCCCAGGGCCTGGCGCCTGTGTGCTCCTCGGTGGGCAGAGAGGGCTCACAGGGAACGGGCATCTCCAGGCCTAGCAGTTTTCTATTCGTAAAGGTGAAGCTAAAAAAAAAAAAAAACGAAGAAGACAAAAGCAAAAAAATGGGGTGGGAAGCATTTTGACAGCCAACCTGGGACTCTGTCTTGGATATAAGCACAGTTTTATTGCACATGTCATCACAACCACCCCACGACCCCCAAACCTTCTCTTAAAAGTAGGACACATTCATTTATTATGCTCAGAGTTTACTCCACCTATTTCAGACAGTTTTTCAGGCTAGGTAACCTCTTTTTAGTTTGCAGCCATTCAAGGCTCTTAAGGAGACATTCCAGCAAATGTATATACACCCCACACCCGCCCACCAACACTGGTCTCCCTGAATGCCCAGAAGAGCTGTGTCGTTCCCACTCTGCGGGACCCAGGTGTTTGCTGGGTACCTTCCAGAACCGCACAGGCCATCTGACAGGTGGAACTTTAAAGCCTAAAGGGTCCTTAAGAGAGTGCCTCATGTCCCCCTCATTTTCCAGGGGATGAGAACATTTTTGTAATCCAGAAGGATCCAAAATGGACTTAAAAAGAGCAGATTCCTTAGACATAACCTCAACACGAGCCATCCACAGTCCAGTGGGAGGCAGGAGCTGGGAAAGCCTGGCCTCCCTGCAGCCAACCTTCATCCCCAGGGGCTGGCTTGCCCTGGCTCATTCCCATTTGGAGTGACAGGCCCCGTGCTGGGGGCAGAACAGGCCCTGCCTTCCATGCACCTTCAAGTTTAGACACACATAAGGCACACACCCAGACTTCCTGCCCCTGCCTGTGACACCGCCAAAATGCTCCTGAATCAGGGCAACGACGTTTCTGGTCAGCGAGGCTGTGTGGAAAGCCTTGTGCTGAGGACTTTGCAAAGCCTGAGAGATGCAGGTCACGCTGATGTGTCAGGGAATCATCTCCCACTGAAATCGCTAAAACGAGCAAGAAGGCAGGGCGGGGGAGGGGGTGATGTATTCTTGGAGCTGCTGGGGGAAAAAATGTCCCTCGGGCCTCAGGTGGCTCTCCCTGGTCTGCGGCCAGCTATGCCCAGAGCACCAAGTCCCTGGGGCACGGCTGCAAGTGAAACAGTGTGACAGCAGCACAGCTCCTTTCCCCTGGTGCCCACCCACCCTCTTCCCTGCGCCTGGTGCTGCATCCCGCATCCCTCCTGAGGCTGGACTCGGGAACTCGGGGTTCAGAGGGGAGCGCCATTTTCCCCTGAGGGGTTCTTGAAACATTTTAGCAGTCGATGGAAAAAAAAACAGATTGCCTGACAATGTCTCACTTGTTGGTGCAAATGTGCATTTTTTTTAAATGTAGTCTTAATGCCAAATCCTATTTAGTCTCCTTTTTTTCTTATATTTTTTGTTTGTTTCTTAAACCAGAGAGAGAATTTGACCCAAATAAACACTGTGGAGTATTGGATCCCGAGACAAAGAAACCTTGCACAAGATCCCTCACCTGCAAGGTATTTCTCTTTCCATAAAAAATACTTCCTGCTCTCGCTGGGGCCTTTGTCGAAATGTTTGCATGCCACTCTCTGCACACGGCAGGGTGTGGAACCTCGACATGACCCCCAGCTGTTCTTTGTAAGGGAAATGCTTTCTTCTCTTCCATGGTAGCAGAGCGCCTGCCTCAAGCTGGCTGGCTTTTTAAGAAGGAAAAAAAAAAAATAGGCTTCCCCCGTTACTTGTGAGGCCAGACAGTAAATTGTATTTATAGGCACTCACAGGCGGTTCTAAACCCTGCTACGTTTTAATGTATGCAGGAGCGCGGCAGCGGCGGCGGCAGCGCCCTGAAAGGCAGCCCTGGAGGGGAGGACGGTCTGCTGCGCCCCTGATCCGGCCACACCAGGGTGGCCAGGGGGACAGCTGACCCGAGGTGGCCGCCGTTGGGCAGCCCCCAGCCCCGTATTGCATACTGAACTGCTAGTGCTCCTTGGGATGGAGGCTGTGGCCCTCTCTGCTCGGTGGCTCTGTGTGTCTGGGCCAAAGCGAGCCTCCCACCTGCACCTGGATTAACTCTAGCCCTCCTGCACGGTTGCCTCTCCTCAGAGAGGTTCTCGTGCGTTCTGCGCTGAAGCTCGTCATCTTATGCCATTTTTTGGAGGAAGCCTTGGCTTCTTAACACCAGGAGTGTAGGGCATGGTTGCGTTTGTGTGGTCTCCGCCTCTTCCCAGCCACAGACCAGGAGCTGTTGCCTTGAAGTTGACTTTTCAAGCACCTCTAAATTCCCACGAATTGCTGTTTCTGAAATGGAGGGCCCGGGGAAGCAGGTTTATGTGCTGATCAAAGAGGCTGTGCTTTTCATCTCTCTTCTCCTTAGACACATTCACTAAGCCATCGGAGGGCAGTCCCGGGCCGGAGAAAGCAATTTGACCTCCTTCTGGCAGAGCACAAAGCCAAGTCTCGGGAAAAGGAAGTTAAAGATAAAGAGCATCTCCTGACTTCGGCAAGGGAAGTCCTTCCAAACCAATCTGGGCAGGACTCTCTGCCAGGATCTTCAGGGAGCTCTGGGCCAGAACCTAAAGTCGCATCCCCTGCAAAATCCAGGCCACCTAACTCTGTGCTTCCCAGGTAAGTCCCACCTGGGCGATAGAAGCCCTGAGTCCTTGGTCAGGTGACTCTGCCTTGCTGAGTTGTGCGTGGTCTGATCACATGGTAAATGGAAGTTGTGATAGCCTTGCCTCGTAAAGCGGTTGTGCAGTTTAAATGAGATACTGAGCATAAGAGGTGCAGCCCAGGGCCTGCCACATAGTCCTCAGTGGATTTTCCCACTGTGATCATTATCATCATCACTGTCATCATCATTGTCATCGTTCACAGCAGACCTCTATCAGGCGTATGTGTTTTTACAGAGCAAGAGTAAGCTGGAAATAAATAGCGAGAAGGATGACATATCAGCCGCCAGGCAACTGTTTGGCTGCCGGGGGTTTTAGATGAGCAGAGTGGAAACCCTGGTGGATGGGTCGCCAGCACACCTTAGGAGCCCGTTAGCCACAATGTTTTATGAATTTTTTCTACAACTCGCTGATGATGTGGGTGAAGGGAAAATTGGCATAACAGAGGCTGTTTGTCCTTACATTTCCCTCCACACCAAGAAAGCTGAGCCACCTGTCTGAGGTTTTATTTAGTTGTCCTGGACAGAAAGGAAAGAACAGAAAACAGAATTAAAACCCATTTGGATGAGGAGCGGTTTAAAATCTACAGATGTCTGTTTTGATGGGCAGTGGAGTGCTGTATTGAGCAGTAGACAATTTCCAGGTAATAGGACAGGGGACCCTTCATTCAAAGATATTTATCAAGGGGCTGGCCCCGTGGTGTAGTGGCTAAGTTCGGCACGCTCTGCTTCGGCAGCCCGGGTTTGCAGGTTCAGATCCTAGGCGCAGCCCTACACCACTTGTCAGCCATGCTGTGGCGGCATCCCACGTATAAAGTAGGGGAAGATTGGCACAGATGTTAGCTCAGGGCTCATCTTCCTCAAGCAAAAAAAGAGGATTGGCAGCAGTTGTTAGCTCAGGGAGAATCTTCCTCAGAAAAGATAAAAACTGAGCCGGCCTGGTGGCTTGGCAGTTAAGTGCACATGCTCTGCTACTGGCGGCCCGGGTTCGGATCCCGGGCGCACACCGACGCACCGCTTCTCCGGCCATGCTGAGGCTGCATCCCACATACAGCAACTAGAAGGATGTGCAGCTATGACATACAACTATCTACTGGGGTTTTGGGGAAGAAAAAAGGAGGAGGACTGGCAATGGATGTTGGCTCAGAGCCGGTGTTCCTCAGCAAAAAGAGGAGGATTGGCACAGATGTTAGCTCAGGGCTGATCTCCCTCACAAAAAAAAAAAAAAAAAAAAGATAAAAATTTATCGAGTGCTTGCTCCCTAAGCAAGGTACTGTGTTAGGTACTCCAGTCAGGGGTATGAAGATCAATGAAATGAGAGCCTGCTTTTCAAGAATTCACAGTTTAGAAGATGAGATAAGACTCAAATATCCATAACTTTCTAAAAAGGAAACATTAAATAATACAATATGAGAAGTGCAGATAGCGGCATTATCTGATGATTTTTAGTGCATACCGTGGGAGTCTCAAAGGCTCCAGTGGGGAAGTAGGCATCAAGAAGACGTAGTTATAAAAGAAGGGAAAGGAATTGATTTTTGAAGCAAAAGCAAATATTTGATAGGGGTTGTTACTGACCTACCAGGTTCTCACCCCATGCCTTCCACTTTGGTGCAAGCCTGACCCAGTCTGACAGTTAGAGTCCCTCTGTGGGAACCACCGACCTCAGCTTCAGGCTTCAGGAGGTCGCAGTCAGATGGAACCGCCACCCACACACGGTTCCATCATCCTAACCGCCGTCCTGTTGTTGTCATCACTTACGCGCCACTTTTCTTGCCGCCCCTCGTTTTGCAAGATCATTTTATGATTACTTCTCACTTTAACGCCAGATGTTGGTGAAGGATAATTATCTTGCTGTAGAGTTGAGGAGACAGTTCTGTTCCAAACTTCTTTGTGGCTATAGAACCTTTTATTCCCACCAAACCTTACATGGTACAGTTACAAGGTTATATATCCCAATATAAAAGCAGTTATATATCCCAGTATAAAAGCAGACCTGCCTCCATCTGAAGCAGATCAGCCCTGTTCTCGTCACACATGTGCCCGCTGTCCCCTGGCCCATCCGAGGGATTGCCTTGGATCCTCCAAGGACTCCAGGGAACCCAGTTTGAAAACTCTCTTTTATTATACATTTCTCCATCGATTGTGACTTATGGGGCATTTTTCACCCAAGCAGTGGTACCTGGCCTAACAGACAAGCCAGGGGGCAGCCATTAAAAAATAAAACAGGCCGTGGAGCCTCGAGAGCTTCTTCTTGCTGTTGCTTTTTGGTTTAGTTTTCAGGAGAAAGTTTGTCAACAGAGAAATGCCAGGTATTTATGTTCTCTTAGGGAAGCAGAATGAGAGAGAGTGAGGTTAATCGGCAAAAAGGATGTCTCTTAAAGGAAGGGGGAGACAAAGGGGCACATTATAAATGTTGGTAACAGAATCATTTTTGAGGACGCTTGTCAAGGTTGATACAGGCACCAGAAAACTCCTGGGTGAACTGCTATGAACTGTTCCAAAGTCAGTGGGAAATAGCATCCTCTTTCACTTGTTTTAGGTTAGGAGGAGACCCCATGCCATGAGATTGAAAAAGCATGATCAGAATTTAACATACTCACATAAAACTTATTTTCCTCATATTAATGATATATATATAATAGATATATCAATCACTAATTATCTATAATTGGCAAAAAAAATTATCACACAGGAATGGAATTATTGTAAGCCCTTCCCAGTCGTGAACTCCTTCTGTAGGAAATGCTACCATGTGTGAATTTATTTCTTACATATCGTTTTGATAATCTCGAAAATATTTCAGTTCTCATATTCTTGAATTGCAACCCATTCGTGTTAATGGGTTCCTAAAAAGGGAACTTGGGTCAAGAATTGGAGACGTTAAAAGTTAGGGACAAGGGTTGGAACGGGACTGGACGTGCACGTCTCAACTCCATGCTTATGAGCTAGAGAAGCTTGGTCATGTTTCTTAGTCTCTCTAGCCTCAAACTGCCCATCTGTAAAATGGAGCGAAGAGAAATTAAGTGAGATAAAGTACCAAGCTCATGATAAGCACTTAACGGCAGCTGGCGGTAAGTGGTAGTGGTGTTCAGTGGGAAGCAGTCTGAGTAAATGAAGGCCTTGGTGCTGCCTGATTTCTGTTTGCCCATCCCTCTGGCCTCTGTCCCCCAATCCAGGGGCCCTTGATACCCATATGTTCTGTTTCTTTGCCCCAAAGTCTAAGGGAACACATTACTTGCCCCAAAGTGCCCAAGGGCTCTGGATGACCAGCCCAGCCCTACCCGCCAGGACCCTGTTGGAAAGGGGGAGGAGGGCAGAGAGTCCAGCTGGGCTCTGAGAAGCCAAGCTCTGGGCACATTCCCTCTGTCTCGGAGAGGCTCACACATCTAATCCAATGAATGGCAAAATCCAATGAATCTTAGACTGACAAGGGCAGTGGGGAGAGAGGCAGGAGGTCCTAGATCCCTGAAAAAGGGGAGAGATGAGTCTGGAGTGAAAGCAACTTCTGCTCATGATTCATTAGGATGGTGTTATTGCCAAACTGCAAGCCATTTCTCTCCTTGACTTTGGATTGTCCCTGTGCTTTTTCTACTTCCATTTCTCACAATGGCGGGCTTTGAAGTCAAGCGGACAGTCAAGTTTCATTTCCACCTCTTATTAGCTTTGCAACCAATTTCCTCATCTGAGAAATGTAGATAATAAATAGTTACACGCACCTAAGGCCGTGGGTAACTTGGATGAGAAAATGCACGTGACATGCCTAGCACATAGTAGGGACTCAGTTAAGGTCAGTTCCCCTGCACTCTCTTTCCCAAAGCCCTCAGATAGACTGATGCTCGTGCTTCCTTAAAGTGGTGGGGGTAGGGACTTTCTCTGAGTTTCCCTGGAGTGGAACTGGACAGGGACCATCATCACATACACTGTCCAGACTGGTAAGTGGAGAGGGGAGGAGGAATGTAGTGTTGAGTGGGAGAGGGTGGATGGCAGCTTAGCAAACTTGAGTGGCTTTTTCAACATTCTCATGACTAGTTGTCCCATTCTCCATCACTCCTCACCAAGCCTGTTTTTTCTGAGACACAGGCTGTTTCCAGCAAACTCCCTCCCTCCAGGTTCCACCCTGGAGTATGGCGATCAGAGCTGGAAGGTCTTGAAAGCGTCCACCACTCCATCATGGCCCTGAGATGCATACACCCTGAGTGAAGCAAGTGTAGAAAGGAAGGGATTCAGAGCTCCTCCTTCTTGGGGTGTATGTGTGCACATGTGCACACCATCATTCACTCGTGGTTCTGTCCTTGCTCTCAGTGCCGATTCTGCTCTAGAGCACGCAGTTTCCATGCTCAGCTTTACCCTCCAGGATTCTCCCCTCCTCATCTCCTCTCTTTTATCTGGCAACTGGAACTTACTATTGAGTGTTTCAACCACTTTGTTTTCCTTAATTAAACTTCATTTTTTAAATCAAAGTAATATAGGCACATAGTTCAAAAATCAAATAGTACTAAAAGACTTAGAATGGAAAACAGTAGTTCTTGCCATCCTGGAACTCTCTTCACCCTCTCCGTGTGAGAGCACCTGATTCCTAGGTCCCATGCCTTCCTGTCTCTTGGTTTGCTCCTTTATTTTGATGGACTGTCTCCTCCATTAGCTTCCTGTGAAGAGGTGCCTGGAAGGTCAGTTTTTAGAATCGTCATACACCTGAAAATGTTTTTGTTCTACCCTCACACTTCATCAATAATCTCTCTGAGTATATAACTGGATTGAAAATCATTTCCCTACAGAATTTTGAAGACATTTTTCCATTGGCTTCTAGGATTGAAGGTTTTTATTGAGAATTTTAATATCATCCTGATTCTCATTTCTTTGCACATGACCAGTTTTTATCTCTGAAGCCTGGGGCTCTGAAATTTCACAGGAATCACTCTGGATGTAGGTCTTTTTCATTCACTGTGCTGGGTACTCAGTAGATCCTTTCAATCTGGAAACATCTGTTTCTGGGATATTTTCCTATGTTACATCTTGGATAATTTTCTCCCCACTATTTATTTTAGTCTCTCTTTCTTGACCTCCTATTAGTTGATGTTGGACCTTTTGCTCTGATCTTTTCATTCTCTTATCTCTTTTCTCCTGTTGTCTCTCTTAATCTCTTGTTCTACTTTCTAAAAGATTTTCTTTAACTTTCCCTTCAAAACTGTATATTAAATAATCAATTTATGATTCACTTTTTTAATTTTTAGGATCTAGTTCTTTTTATCTGATTGCTTCTTTTATTTCCTACAAGATACTGTCATTTTGCAGAGGTAATACTGTTCTGATGTCTTTGAGGATAGGTTTATTAGTTTTTCCTCTTTCTTTCATTATCTTCATTTCCTCCAGATTTGTTTCCTGTCTGTGTTCATGGCGTTTGATGTTTGATTGGTCAGTCTCATGTTGGAGATGTTCCAGGAATGTTTGCTGATCCTAACCATTCATATTTAGAAGAGATGCTCTAACAGGCTGATTGGAAGTCTGTGTGTAGGACTGTCATCAGGTCACCAGTCAGCCTTTTGTTGGAGGATTCCCACAGGCAAGATCTGGAAGCCTTTTCTCTGGGGGCCATTCCATTTCTCAGGGGAAGCATCCTGCCTGGTGGTTTGCTTGGCGATAGGCGTTCTGGGAGGATCGACTAAGGATCTGACGAGGGATAGGCCACAGTCACCCTCTTTCCAGCCCTGTGCCCCACTCCTGATCTGCTGAGCCTGGTGGCCCCATGTCTAGAGTCTCTCCAGTTCAATTTCTCTGGAGAGTAAACCTTTGTTCTCTTGTTGGAGAGTTGAGTGGAGGGGGAGGGCCTGGCAGGGGCGATGGTGAGTCATCAGGCTGTGTGAGGTAGGGAGACCTATAGGTCCAACTACTACATAGTAAGACTTTCAACTCTCCCGCCATGTTGAGTCCTCACCTCACCCATAACTTTTGCAGCTCTAGGTAGCTCCAGGTGCCCTGCTTCTCAGAGATTCTGTGGTTGGTCAGCTCCTTTCCCATCAGTTAACACTTCTCCACCCGCATTCTGTCTTCTAAAAATATGTTAAAATCTCTTGTTCACACTTGTATCAGTTGAGATGCTTCAGGTGCAAATAGCAGAAAGCCTAGTCTTACTAAATGCTTAAATAATTAGGAAATTTCTTATCACATGTGACAAGAAGTCCAGAGGTGAAAGGGCACCAGTCCCCCAAGATCAGGAATTGGCTCTTTTTCTCTGCCCTTCAATTATTCCACCCTCTTCAGTCTTTTAGCTTCATCTTCAGTCTCTTGCAAGATGGCTGCAGCATTTCTAGGCACATCCAGATAAAACAAGGTCCAGATGAAGGTGGAGATCACCTTTGCCTTGTGTCTCTTTTGAAAAATGAGAAAAATCTTTGCAAAAGCCCCCTCACCCAAAAAAAATTATTTTCTTTTATGTCTCATGCTCTTTTCCAAACCAATCATTAGCAAGATAAATGAGATTCCCATTATTGGTTTAGGGGTTAAGTGGAGGCTGGGAAATCCTCACCATAACTGCCACCATATTTCTGCTGATATCTCTGTTCTTTGAGAATAATGCCTGTTTATCCCGTTACTGTGATTTTAGTAGGACGTTGGGAGGGAGAGGAGATAAGTGTGTTCAATCCATCTGCCACATTTAACGGGAAGTTCCTCGGCCACTTTCTTACACACACCTGTACTACTAGCTCACTTTTTCTTTTTCTACTTTTTGTTATGAAATTTTTCCCATGTATAGAAAAATAGAGAGAATAATATAATGAACACCTGCATACCTAGTTTTGATGGTTGTAATGATAGTATTTTGCAGTTATATTTACTTCATCTACATTTTTGATAATACATTTCAAAGTAAATTCCAAATGTCGTGGCATTTCACCTCTAAAGATTTCCAGATGCAGCTTTAAAAAGTAAAGATATTTTCCTATGTAACCATGATGCTATTATCACACTTAACAAAATCCAGCTCACTTGTATTCCCTGCAGGACAGGGAGGTCCTATCATGGTGGGGAAGGCTTCAAAAAGAGCCTACCAGAAAGTTTAGAAACAACCTGAATGTCCATCAATAGACTAGTTAAGTAAATTACGATATATCCATACTATGGAATACTGGGGAATCTTAAAAATGATGATATAGTTTTATACATGAGAAGATTTCTACAGCATCACTAGGTTGAAAAAAAAAAGCATGTCTCAAAATAGTATGTACAGTGTGATCCAGTTCTTGCTTAAAAATGCATGTGCCTGTGTATGCTCAGTGAAGAAGTCTGGAAGGATATAAATCAAAATAGTAATAGCATTTGATCTTGAGTGGCAGGGTTATGAATGCTGTTTTCTTTCTTTATGTGTGTCAGCATTATCAAAATTGTTTTACTATTTGGGTCTTCAGCTGTAAACAGGCAATGGTGTTGTTGCCCCTTCTGATACAGGAGAGTGGGTATCTGGGGAGATGTGTTCCCTGGACTACAGACTTTTAACATGCAGATTGAATGGTGTCTTTTTTTTAATAAGTACGGGAAGGTGATAGTCAGTAATACATTCTCATACCGACGAAGTTCTTGTAGTAACACTGAAAAATTACCCGTGGCTTTGTTTTCGTTTTGTTGTGGGTTTTTTATTGTGGTAAAATATACAAAACATAAAATTTACCATTTTAACCATTTCTAAGTGTACAGTTTAGTGGCATTAAGTGCATTCACATTGTGGTGCAACCATCACCACCATCCATCTCCAGAACTTTTTCATCATCCCCAGCTGAAACTCGATACTTTTTATGAAACATTAACTCCCCGTCCCCCCTGCCCCGTGCCTGGTAACCACTGTTCTACTTTCTGCCTCTATGAATTTGACTATTCTAGGTTCTTCCTATCAGTGGAATGTCCTCTGTGACTGGCTTATTTCACTTAGCACAATGTCTTCAAGGTTCATCCATGTTGTAGCATGTGTCAGGATTTCATTCCTTTTTAAGACTTGCCTAACAGTCCATTGTATGGCTATACCATATTTTGTTTATCCATTCGTCTATTGATGGAGACTTGAGTTGCTTCCACCTTCGCAGCTTTGTTTTTAAATGGCTGCTTTGGGGATCTGGTATGAACTCAGGTATTTGAGACCTAGAAAGATTTCAAAGCAACGGAGAATCCAGGGTGAAAATGAGAGAGAAGGGAGACCAGTCCACAGTACTGCTTCATGTGACTTGAAGGGGCAGCTTGCAAAGCAGAATGCAGAAAACCAGTTTTTTTTGAAAGAATTTCGATATTTTTCTCCAAAACTTCTTTTTCTCCATCTTTCTCCCTGGTCAATCACCTGGAGGAAGTGGAGAAGCAGTAAAAACAACTCACATCTCACTTTGGCTGTTGCTTTTCTAACTCGTCTACTGCTGTGGGTGTGGTTTTTGTTTGTTTGGGTTTGGTTTTTGCCTTGTTTTGTTCTGTTTTTTCCTGCTTAGGAAGCATGTGGTGCTACCTCTTACTATGACATTGCTTTTCTATGAGCTTAGCCATAACTGAGATGAGATCTATTGGGTTGTTTATACCCGTGGAATTCATTCATTCCTTCATTGAGAAACATATTTCTTGAACACCTACTATGAGTCAGCCAAGCCAGCCCGTGGGTCTAGTGGTTTGTCAAAAATCAAACGGAAACATTCATCCTTGGAAGATACAATTAAACTACAATTAAACTACAGGCGGCTTGATATTAAGAAACAGGCACGGGGCCGGCCCGGTGGCTTAGCGGTTAAGTGCACGCGCTCTGCTACTGGCAGCCCGGGTTCGGATCCCGGGCGCGCACCGACACACCACTTCTCCGGCCATGCGGAGGCCGCGACCCACATACAGCAACTGGAAGGATGTGCAACTATGACATACAACTATCTACTGGGGCTTTGGGGAAGAAGAAAAAGGAGGAGGATTGGCAATAGATGTTAGCTCAGAGCCGGTCTTCCTCAGCAAAAAGAGGAGGATTAGCACTGATGTTAGCTCAGGGCCGATCCCCCTCACAAAAAAAAATAAAATAAATGAAAAAATAAAGAAAGAAACAGGCACGGCTGTGGGGTGAGAGACTTGTAGTCCCATCACTGGGACAAAAGCTTTTTTCATGCCAGTATGATAACAATTTCATAAAGCCATAGTTTGGTAGCAAAAAAAAGTGTTTGTAGGGCTGTCTTGCATCATCACTGAGATTTTGTTGATTGATTTGAACTCGCTTATCTGGTTGATCTTCCTTCCACTTTCAAAGAGAAGCATTTACGTGGAAGTACAAATTAATTACATGCAAATGGATGAATGGTTGTAACTGAATTCATAGAAGACTAGTTTTGAGTTAGATTAACTCTCTGTCACATTACTGTATTTTATCCTCTGCTTACACTGTTGGAGTTTCCCTGGCGCCCAAATCAGGCAGGGCAGAGCCTCAGCTCACCAGATCACTGGAGAGAGCTGGTTGCTACTAACCCTCTCAGGCTGAATTTTTCCCTTGTGCAAATTTGCCATTGACCTGCCTTCCTTGATGTGTCAGGAAGGCTGATTGGTCTGCCTTCTGAGCTCCATTAAACTGAGTGGGTCTTGTTACCTCAGAGAAGTTTATTCTGTTTGTTCTCTCTTGCCCTTAGACCATCATCTGCAAATAGCATAAGCAGCAGCACGTCCTCCAACCACAGTGGCTACACTCTGGAGCCCCCTCTGCCCCCAGTTGGAAGTGACCTCGCCAGCCGACTGTCGAGTGATGAAGGGGAGATGGACGGAGCCGAAGAATCTGAGAAGTTAGACTGTCATTTCTCCACCCACCACCCCAGACCTCTTGCAGTAGGTCACCTTCTGTTTCTGTCCATGGATTTTTTTTTCCCCTGTGCTTTGCGGGCATTTAGGTGATCATGTCAGACAGCACGCATTCCTAAGGAGAGGCTGCCAGGACAGTGTTTTATGAAAAGTCTTCCCCTGAGATTGAATGATTGCCTTAGAAATACCTTAAAAATCAAGAAGGAAAGGAAAGGGCTCCTAGCTGATTATAATCCTTTAAACACCTGAGTGTTTGTGGTCCACCTTGAAGCAATCATGCCTGAGAAATGGTGTTTCTATAAATGCACTGGGGAGCTGACCTTCTGGCCTTGCCTGGCTGAAGATGGAGCCTCTGGTTTCAAGAGTTAGTCTAGCTCACCTGCTTTGGAAACCATCTGTCTGCAGTGTGCCAGGTGCCAGCCCTAGCTGGTTGTCTCCCCTGTTGATTCTGAGTTTCATTGTTATTAGTGAGTGTGACCATATGGCACCAGAACTGAGTGTGTGTGTGTGTGTGTGTGTGTGTGTGTGTGTGTGTGTGTGTGTTGAGGAAAGGAGGAAGCATTTAATGTCAGTGTGATTGCCGATTAACAAAAAGGTCAGTTTCTTCCCCATTCGTTGAAAGAGCCCACTGTAACAATTCAGAAGGTCGTTGAAATCGAGGTGGAAAATATAAGGAGGCATGAGCTGCAGACTGATGATTGCCCTGCAGGCGCTTAAGAAGGGACTGCCTGGTCTACCGTCACCGAGCTGAATTCAGGGGGGCAGGAAACGTGGGACCCCATGGCCAGTTTGCTCTGGTCCCAGGTTGAGCCCTGCAAGATTAGCTTTGACTGTCCCTAGATCTCATGGACTGCGTAGGTGAAGTCAATCCTGCAGCAAGATAGAGTGAGTCCCTCCTCCCTTCTACCTGTGTGATGAATGAAGGCCAAATTCACTTCCTGTTTCTGGGGATGATGGTGACCTGTGGTTCACCAACAGCCTGAGACTTCGCCTCTTGGCTAGTACAGAAATAGGGACAATTAGGAATGCCTTTGACTGCCAGTAATAGAAAACTCAATTTATACAGTGTATGCACTACGGTAATTTAATTATCTCATGTAATAAGAAATCTAGAGGTAGGTGGTTCCAAGCTTGGTTCAGCATCTCCACAATGTTGTGTTGCTGGGGGAGAATCTCTGCGATCCTCTTCGCCTTTCATGCACAGTCTCAATGCGTCTGCTACAGCTCCAATAGCACATCCTCACCCAGGAGCATTCTCCGAAGGGTGGAAAGAACAGACAGAAAGGGAGTCTTCTTCTCAGATGCTATCTTATATCATTTCATAGGGAAGAAAATCTTCCTATGAGCCCCCCTAGCAGACTTCCCCTTACATTTAGCAGAAATGAGGTGCCCAGCCCTGTACCAATCGGTGGCAGAGAAGGATGGAATTGCAGTGACGCAGGATGAAACCAGCCGTGATTCATCCCAAGGTTCTGGGAAGAGACCCACCTTCCCTCCTCACCGCTTCATGTCAGATGTCAGAATAAAAGTGTGGTTCTGTTAGCAAGGACAAGGCAGGGAGAAGTGGGAGAATGGGTGTTGTTGATGAGATTGGCAACCAGTGGGGTCTGCCACAGTGGCCAGTGCAGTCAGGATCTACAGCTCTGCCAAGGGCATAATATGCAACCGAGAACAGGAGCCTCTCGGGGCATTTAGACTCCTATCTGTATTGAATTAGAGACATAGGTAGCAAAGACAGTAAGGGGCCTCCAGCTTCCAAGTCTGAAGGTGAGACTGGGCTCTACCGAAAGGCCAACTCTGGAGCATATCAAGATATTTGTTCAAATGACAAGCTGCCAGGCCACAGTGGATTAGTTCAACTCTGGGCATGGTGGATTTGTGTGCCCTTCATGTTTTGCTGATTTAAATGGAAAGGCCATGGATTTGTTTCTTTGCTTTGTCCTTTCTCTCATGGTCAATTAATACATTAAATCATTTTTTGTAATGAACGCTCATCCAGGGTCTCTTTAGCAACTAGAAGAAGGAAGAAAAGATGTCTAGACCTGGAACAATTCCCACATGCTGCTGGGGACCAGCTTCCACATTGGAGATGTGTTTGTATGCACATTTATATGTTTTCTTGCTCGGTCAGTAAGCACTTAATATGAAAGTGCAAAAAAGAGTTTTTCATCAGGAGTACCAGATTTGATGGGTGGCAAGATTTAATGCCAAACCCCCCAAACACAAGCAGAAACAAAACAAAGAGAAGGTCTTACATTTCCTCCTAAGAACTGTTCCAGTAGCTGGTTCCAGGGAGGGTTTGTGGAGCGAGTGCCAATCTAGCACTGTGTCTGGGATGGAGGCCAGGGAGCTGCTGAGAGGCCGGGGGAAGGGGGAGAAGCTGCTTTTGAGTTATAGAGTCATTTGCAGACTCGTCTGAGCTCTAGACCAGCCAAATGTCACCTTCTCAGAGGCCGCTTCTTGCATTTCTGTCTACTGGCTTCTGCTTGTCCTAACATCATAATCAAATGATGTTTATTAAACATCTGACTGCTCAGATTTCAGCCATATGTTTTAAATGTGATGATTTGCTTTAAACATTTTGTGGAACCTTGTCTCTCCAATCCATTGCTTAGCCCAAATCCCTACTCTCCTCATACTGAGGAGGAAGAAGAGAGTGAGGTCCCTGGCCTTTATACACTTATGATCAAGTCAGGCACATAGGCATTATGTGTAACATGAAACAGTCGTGTAGTGATTCCACGGGGAAATGTAATAGAGTAAGCAGTGGGTGTGCCGTGGGAGTTCACAGGGGCAAGGTTAGTCAGAGAGGGCCATTGCAAACGAGAGTCTTGATTGGGGCACTGAAAGAGGGGAGAATTGGGACTGAGAGGGAGAAGAGGGAAGGAGACGGCAGGCAGAGGGAACATCATGAGCATAAGCTTAGAGGTGATAATGTGTCTCAGGGCAGCCTGCAAGTGCTGAGAGAGGTGGAGATGAGGTCGGATAGGAAAGGTGTGACCGGCTGGCAGAAGACCCAGAGAGTCAGAACAAGCAGTTTCCATTAGTGTGATGAGAAGCAGGGAACCACCGAGTTCCTCGAGGAGATGGATCATATGATAAGCAGGTGGTGCTGAAAAATCACCCTGGCTACTCGTTGCTGCTGGTTTGGGTTTTTTTTTTTTTGTAACTGAAAATACTAGCTCAGTCCCAGGTATAGAGCAGGTAGCCCTTAGTGGTAGAAAATTGAATGTCGCTATTGAGTCCTAATGTGAGGTTCTGCAGAAAACCTAGAGCTCAAACTAAAGCATCACAGGAGTATTTTTGGCTTCAGTACTATTTGCTTCTTTATTTTGAGTAAAATTGTAACCCTGTGTGTTTTTATGCAAATGTTATTTTTCTCTGTATGGTTTATATTAGCTTATTAACCTGTAATCAAAATTAAAATGTTTTTTCCCTCACAGTTTTGCTCATTCGGGAGCCGCCTCATGGGACGAGGGTACTATGTGTTTGACAGAAGATGGGATCATTTTCGGTTCGCACTAAACTCCATGGTAGAAAAACACTTGAATTCACAGATGTGGAAGTAAGTGAGCAGTTTTTGTGCAATATAAGATCAGAGCTGCCCCACAACTATCTGAACCCCAACTTTCTAAGTGAATGTCAGTAGTTGGCTTTTCATAGAACAAAATGATTCTGAAATCAGGATCCATGATTAATTCTTAAATATCAGCTCTTCTTAATGGTTTGCCTATAGTTTTTCAGAGACGTGTATGATGTGTGGTATGCTTTGCCTTCCTTGGAGACCATTTTTGTGTTGGTAATCTTCTAAATGGAAAGAGCATTAGATAAGATCTTCTTTACCGAACAGTGTTAAAGGTGCAATGACTAAGAACATCCAAGGAAATGAAGAATATGCTTCTGTTTGTAATGTTAATACTACAATGTCAGTACTAAAAATTTTGTAATGGTTATGGACCAATTTCTAATTGTTTAATGTCCTGTGAAAAAATATGTACAGCGGCTAACAGGGCAGATCCTGAGCGATGTTGTGAAGTTGGTTAAGCTTGTCTTTGGCCCTTCCCATGTCCTTAGAACTCTCTCCTCACCTCTACTCGTACTTCTCTCTAACCTACACCCCAGCTTATGTTCCATGTCTCTAAAGTCCCTTTATTCTCCAACACCTGCTGATGTATTTACGTTTTAATAGGAGATTCTTAAAAAGGGAAGAAACCTTGACTTAGGAAAATGCTATTGTGAAGGAATAACAAGCTAGATCCTCTCAAACCACAGCTCATGAGGAACTGCCATTCCGGCCACTTGATAATGCAAGGCTAGCCCACTGGCTATCCCCACACCCCCCTCCTACCAAGGTGAGCTCTTAAGATATCATAGTCCATTAGAATCATGGATCCCTCAGGTCTAGGCCCAGATGGTTCTGGAAAGCCAATGCTGAACCCCTCAGCCTACCCAGTGAAGCCCAGGAAAGACAAGGAAGGCATTCCTGAGAAATGGGAAGGTACTGAGGGTGGGGATGGGAACGGAATTCAAACCTTGCCCTCTCCCAGATTCCTCCTCTCTCCCAGGCAGTTCTGGCACCTTAGCCCCTTTTTACCCTGATGCCCAGAGAGCTTCCAGACCGTAACTTCTAGGAGACGTCAGCCCCATGTGTCTGCAGTAAGCTCTCATGGTGGATTTGGACTAAATGTTGACATTCACTATAAAGTAGGAAAGGGCCACAAGAGAAGCTTATCATTTCTTCCCATTTAAGTGACTGCCCAACGTGTCTAAAAGGCACCCTTGATATCTACCTGTGTCCATTCTAAACAGCAACAAATTGGCGCTGCACGTGGGGTTATTTGGTTATTTATCCTTCTGTGCTTGCTCCCCCAAGATGGCAGCCAGCCCTGAGGATTCTCGCAGCTCTTTGCCCTCCGGTGTCGTGGGAGTGTAAATCCCAGACGTACGGAAGGAATGTGTTGATCTGTATTTCGCTACCTGGTGTCCTGTCAGCTCAAGCTCCATATTCCTTTCCTCCTCAGGCACAGAAACCCGAGCCACAGGGCATCAGGTCCCTCCCCCCTTTTCAGGACTTGCCTAACCAATCTGCTGTCACTGAGCAACATTGGGGCTGCCTGGGTGTCAACTCTGGAGAGCGTAGCACCCCGCTGCCCTCTCAACCTCGCTGCCCAAACCCCAGGCCCCGACGGGCCCGAACCTGGAGGGATGGCAGCCGATGGGGGCGTGGAAGACATTAGGAAGAAAAGGAACGGCCAAGACTCTTTTTTCTTTAACAAGCATTTAACTCTGCATCAGGAGACGCCAACACAGTATTCTCTTTCAGCCAGGTCAGCATCTGGATCTCCATGCCAGCTGGCAGGGGAGGCTGGGCACTGTCAGTCATTGATTCGCATCTGTGGGCTTTTGTACGGGGCTTCCCTAGGCCAGCGAGCAAAGCTTAAATCGGGGCACAGCCCGCAAAGCTGAAATCCACTGCCCTTTAGCACCGGGAAAAACACACAAACTGTTTAGCATGGCGGGAAGGGGCTCCCAGAGACAGTGAGCTGCCACATGCCCCTCGCTCTCTTCTCCCCTCCACTTATGATTAGTGGGGAGAGGAGGGAATGGGACAGAAAGTGTGCTGAAAAACAGCACCCATCCCAGTCCTGAGCGTCAGCCACGTAAAACTGAGGACTTCAGCTCTGCTTGTCAGCATAAGTTGAAGCATGAATTTATACTATTTAATGGGAAAATTACAAATTGGGAGACTCAGAGTAGATCCCAGTTAAGGTCACTGATTGGGGTCCTCTCTAAATGAGCCATTTGGTGTTTGTAAATAACTTTTTATTACTAGTAACTGCCAAACCTCTGCCCACATGTATTTCTATCCATTCTTTAGCTGAGTCAGGGACACATTGAGTGGGATGCCTGTAGCACCACAGTAAGGCCACCGAGACAGCAGGGAGAGCGTGCTGACGCTGCACACTCTGAGGAACGTTCCCTGGCCTGCCCGGGGAAGAAGGGGTTGCGCAATGCCGGACAGTTCTAAGGGCGTGTGTAGACCTTTCTGGTCTGATCATATGGAAGTCCTTGCCCAGCATGCATAGTTATGTTGCTGCTGAGAATTCACCTGCTCACCCGTCCACCCGCCCATCCGTCCATTCATTCATTCACTCATTCATTCATTGCAACAGTGCTGATGGAGCACTTGCTTAGCGCTGACAGGATCTTTCACATTCTTCAGGCTTGAGAGAAAGTAGATTGTCAAACACCATCATGGCCACGGTGATTTGGCAACATCTTTCTCTCATATTTGACCTCCTCCGTCCGATGTTCTCCAGGGCGTTGTGCTTCCGTATTCAAGGATTCCTCTGGATCCCACCCTAAAGATGGAAGCCACAGGCTCCACCAAATTGCAGGCAGAAAACTGAATCCTCAGAGAGAGCAGTCCTGGAAGAGCCGTTTCCTTCTCCGCGGGGCCTCTTTCCAGAGTTCCCTGGCGCCTCGTCCTAATGCTGCAGTTGGGGATGGGTGGGGGGCCTCCAAGGAGAGAAGAGGCTGCCTGAGGCCCCATTTTACACCTTGCTCCAAGCCCACGGGATGCAGGTCCCAGGCCTGCCTGCCTTCCAGCGCGGCTTTCAAAGAAGAGGGGCTAGTTCCTAAGTGCTGGGAAGCCCCAGCAACACTGAAGATGGTTTCCAGGGGAAACGGGGAGGGGGAGCAAGATGAGACTAGGAAAGAGCCAGCTTGGAAACATTCACCTGGCTCCTGAGGTCAGTATCCTTTCCTGCAAAATCAGGAACAAATGGTGACCCTGAGGCCCCTGTGCTCCTCCCTGTCCCCAGAATAGCAGCAGCATCGACCCAGGCCCTGGTGTGGAGGTGGGAACTGTTTCCAGCACAAGTCAAAAGACAGAGTTTGCAGGAAGGCCCCAGAGTAGCCTGCCTCCTAGTGCTGGCCTTGGCTCCACAAGGGTAGGGGGCAGAGAGTTTGCTCCCAGGCACCCCCACCCTCCAGGAAGACCTCTCTCATCTGTGTGTTCTCCTGTGCCCATATCCTGCATTTATCTTCAGAACAAACTAGAGATTCCTTATCCCCTTCTCTGGATACGTGAGGGTCCCTGTACTCTCATCACTTCCTAACATGGAACAGAAGACCTCTTGAAGGGCAGCCACACCCCAAGTATAGCTCCTCTGAGTGAGAGCTGAAGTAGAGGGAAGTAAACAGGAAAAAGTCAGTCCTGAGGCTGGGCAACTTGACATCTGCATCATTTCCCAAGCCCCGACCCTCACTGCCCCAAGGCCTCCAGAGCCAGGCCAGCGGGAGCCAGCAGCCGCGAGCTAACTCGGAAATGCCTCTGCACAGAGTAAACCAGAGGCTGCAGACAGCAAGTGCAGGAGGATGCTGGCCTGTGAGGAGAGGGGTTTCCCACACTGCCTCCAGCCCAGAGCAGGAGACAGGAGGGGCTGGGCGGCCCTGAGAGGCAGTGGGCAGAGGCTGCAGAGGGACCCTCCGGCCCACGCGTGCAGGTGGCAAAGCCCTGTCCTCACACTGCCTACTTCAAGCCAGGACCTAAGTGTGAAATGACCACTTCTCATTACAAACCACCTCATCATTGCCAAAAAAAAAAAAGGAGGGAATACAGTTGGGGAAATTTATATTCTAAATAACATTCGCCTTTTATTCATGAACCCAGATCAGCCATTATCCAGTAGCCACGCATGGAGAAAAGGATCTGAAGACCTGCAAGTGATTAAAAATAGGTTGCTGGATGTTGCAATGGGGGAACCACAGGGAAGGGCCATAATTCAGATTGTGCCATCCTTCAAGGCTTCATTTTCCATAGTCTGGTTCTACCGGGGTTTTCTCTATAGCCCCGATGGTCACACTTTAATCGAGCCTCTGGAGCAATGCCAAGCCTGTTTCTCACGGTTTCTCTTTCCCTCTTCTCTCGTGTTTAGGAAGATCCCTCCGGCGGCAGATAGCCCCATGCCCTCGCCGGCAGCCCACATCACCACCCCTGTTCCAGCATCCGTTTTACAGCCTTTCAGCACCCCCAGTGCTGTGTATCTTCCTTCAGCTCCCATCAGCTCGAGACTCGCCTCTTCTTACATAATGACATCAGCCATGCTCTCAAACGCAGCTTTTGTGACATCGCCGGACCCGAGCGCCCTCATGTCACACACCACAGCTTTCCCTCATGTGGCTGCAACCCTCAGCATCATGGACTCAACCTTCAAGGCCCCATCCGCCGTGTCCCCAATACCAGCTGTCATCCCTTCCCCATCCCACAAGCCATCCAAAACCAAAACCAGCAAATCCTCAAAAGTCAAAGACCTGTCCGCCCGTAGCGACGAGTCTCCAAGTATCAAAAAGAGGAAGCCGCAGTCTTCGACTTCCTCCTCCTCCTCCTCCTCATTATCCTTGCAGACCTCCCTCGCATCCCCACTGTCAGGGCCCCACAAAAAGAACTGTGTTTTGAATGCCAGTTCAGCTTTGAACTCCTATCAGGCGGCCCCTCCCTATAACAGTCTGTCTGTGCACAACTCAAACAATGTGGGGGGCCCACTCAGTGCCAAACTGGAACCCTCGGGACGGACCTCGCTGCCCGGCGGCCCCGCGGACCTAGGGAGACACGTGGGCGCGGTGGGCGGCAGCAGTGACTCCTGTCCCCTCTCTGTGCCCTCCCTGGCAGGGGACCTCTCTCTGGCCTCACACAATGCCGTGTCTTCTCTGCCCCTGCCCCTCTCTTTTGACAAATCAGAAGGAAAAAAGCGTAAGAACTCGAGTTCTAGTAGCAAAGCCTGTAAAATCACTAAAATGCCTGGTATGAATAGCGTTCACAAAAAGAACCCGCCCAGCCTTCTCGCACCGGTGCCCGATCCCGTTAACAGCACCTCCTCTCGGCAGGTAAGGGACCTGGCCTTCCAGGGGCCTCCTGGCACTGCCTCCACCAGCTCCGGGGGGCTGGGGGAGCTGGGCAGCGCCCCGCTTAGCCAGGTGCTTCCGACAGGTAACCCAGCACCACTCCTGTTCTCGTTTCCCCACGGGCACTGTTCACCCTCTTCTCTAAGAGCAGTTTATGAACAAGTACTTTCACGGCTCTCGCTGCGTGCTAGGCACTGCTCTGAGCACTGTATGAATATTACATCTAATCCTCATGACAGCCCAGTGCAGTCAGTGCAGTTATCACCACTTCACATGAGGAAACCGAGGCCTGGAGAGATTCTGAGGACGATCTCATTAAAGAGTTCTGTTGCCAAGAAGTTTTATCCAACCTACTGGAATCCCCTTAGGAAGAGCCCGAGGCCTGGGCAGGTGAAATGATGACTTGGGTCCCACCTGGGGCGTGGTAGCTTGAGCTTCCGGCTCCCAGGTGACCGTCCTTCTCACTTTACCAGGCTGCCTGACCCCCACCTCCTCCTAGTATAACTCTTTCCTTCCCAAAGTAAAAGTGCAGCTCACACCAGCTGGCACAGGAGCATTCGGGCCATTGTACAATAGGAGGGTGTACGGTGCAGAGATCTGGGGAGGTGGGGCGTGCTCCAGGAGGAACACGTGTTTCTTTCCCTTGAGCTCTGGTCTTTCTCCTCAGGCTGAGGAAGCCACTCAGGAAAGCCCTCCATCCCCCGCCAGGCTCAGGTGCTGTTTGGGCGCAGAGGAGAGAGCAGAGGTGGCGAGGGGCCGGCCTGGGGTTCTCTGAGCCGAGTCTGGTGGGAGGGCGGCCGCAGGCCTGCCCGGGGCCCTACACCTGCCAGGGCGCCGCACACAGACTGTAGAGGCAGCCGCAGGTTTACAACCACAGAACTAAGTGGGCCGGACCCTGATCCTGGCCCATCTGGGAAAAAGGACTTTGGAGAGATGAGAGGCAGTTGTTTAAAAGGTGTTTTAATGTTTTGTGTCATCTTTATATGAGACTTGTTAAAACCTCACGAAGAGAACATCTTGAGGGGGCTTCACAAATCACAAGTAAACACATGAGAAACAGCAAGTTTGGATCTCAAGGGCCAGACAAGCTGCCAGCCAAGGCCAAGGTGAGAGAGGGGGAGACGCAGGTCCTCACAGAGCCTGGGGCGCTGCACACGGCTGCAGCCGAGGCAACGGGCCGCCCTTCTGACACCCCACTTCCAGGGGCATAGGGGAGGGGGGCCAGCACCCACAGGGCCCTACCCAGAGACTCAACTGCTGGTCCTGCCACCTCCAGGTCTCAGGGTGGAGGGCAGAACCAGGGCTCCCTAAACTTGAACGTGCACACGAATCGCCTGGGGGTCGCATTAAAATGCAGAGTCTGAGGGGGCAGGTCTGGGGTGGGGCCTGAGAGTGCATTTCTAACAGGCTCCCAGGCAGCGCTGCTGTGCCAGTTTGCAGGCCACACCCTAAGCAGCCAGGCCATAGTGTCACCCATTTTAGATAAAGCTCTAGCAGATAACACTTGCTTATGGGATGGGCTCTGTTCAAGCACTAAAGATGTATTAATTCATTTAATCATTACCTGTTATTACCCCCATTTTACAGATGAGTAAACTGAGGCACAGGAAGGTTAAGCAATGTGCCCAAAGTCACACAGCAAGTAAATAGTAGGACTGGGATTTACGCCCAGGCAATTTGGCTCTGGAGTCTGGGCTCTTAACCTCCATGGCTCTGTGTTGAGTAAATGTTCTGTTGACTTTTTGGTCTGTAGGGTGTATGAAATGTTTAGTAAACATGATGAATGAGTCAAAGCCAGTGGTGAAAGGAGCAGACAAACCTCCACCAGAGAGTCCTCATCAGGAGGGAAACCAAAAAAAGCTGACGGATGTAATGGCTGCCTTGGGTCTAGTCAGCATTAGTTCTCTAATGCAGGGGACACCTGGGTGCTTGTCACCAGGTTAAGAATAGGCTTGGTCCGGGGTCACCATCGGTGATTTCCAAGAGTTGGGGAAAGGCCTTTGGAATCCTTGTGGATTCTGTTAGGAGATTGGGAGAGGCACGGCGTAAGGGTGAGAAATTCGAAGTAAACCTGTGCTTTGGGGACCAGTTGGGGATCTATTTCATGGTATGTGGTAGGTGTAAGGCCAGAATTAGCCACAGAGGTATTAAATTGAACACAAGACAAGACTGCAAATGGAAGACAGACGTCTTTCTGCAAAGGCGAGTTAACGTAAGGGACAAGCTCTTTATAGGCTGCAGGCAGGAGCTGCCTGTGGGAGCAGTACCCACCTGAGGACAGTCACAGATGAAGGGGAGGAGCTGCACGGCCGCACCCACTGGCCCCCAGCGCTGCCCTCCTAGGACCCAGCTCAGCGAGGTGCACGCTGTGTCTCCTGGCTGGGGAAACTGACACAGAAAAAGACCCCGGCTTTTATCCCCAGCTGGTCCAAGGGAGTCTGGGCTAGGAACAAGGTGGGTCTGGGAGTGAGCTCAGAGGTGGATGAGTTTGTGTAACCCTTTGGCCCCAGGTGGAAAAGCTGGGCCTCTGTTGAAAGGCTCCCAGGAGGGGCCAGGCCTCTCCCAGGATGCCTTCATCCTCACCCCTGAAGGTTGCAGTCTACACTGGGGAGCAGAGTAAGAGTTCCCCTCCATTCTGCTTCCCCTCTGGGATGAGAGGGGCATCATCAAGGTACCCACTGAAACATTTTCATTTTCTCTGCCATTGAAGAGGGAGGAAAACGCAAGTTCCAAATTGACGTGAGGAAAATGAGCATGTCATCAGGCAGCGCTTCTCCTTTCCCCTGGCGATGCGTGGTGTCGGTGGGTCTTTCCCAAACTGGCTCGTGTATCTGAGTAGGGCTTCTCTGGTGTCTTTCAGGTTGGGAAAAATAGCAGCCTAGCTCTGCCACAATCCAGTCCTTCAAGCATATCCAGCCCAGGACACAGCCGACAGGTAAGTTACTGGGGGCAAAAAAAACATAGGGTCATTAGCAGGACAGAAAGAATGTGGGCTTTGGGGCGGACCCTGGTTCCAATCTCATCGCCAGTTAAGAGCGTGGCTGCCTGGTTCCAAAGCTAGGCCTTCTACTTATTTAGCTGTATGCCCTTGGGCAAGTTACTTAATTTCTCTGTGCTTCAGTTTCCTCACCTATAAGGTGGGGATCATAATGGCCCTGATCTCATATGGCTTTTGTGAGGATTAAATTAATTTATTCACTTAAAGCCTCTAGAAAATGCCTAACACACACACACACACACAAATATTAGCTGTTATTATTAGCAGCTGTATGATATTAGGCAGATTACTTCTCTGAGTCTCAGTTTTTTCTTCTGTTAAATGGCAGAATCGATGCCCACCTCTTAAGGTTATTGTGAAAATTAAATAAGATGAGGATGACTGGAGGGCCTTGCTTGTGGCGGATGTCAGTGCTCTCTCCAGGCCTCTGGTGGGCTGTAGATCCGTTCAGGATGTGGTTGCATGGTGGGAATCTTCAAACTAGATTTAGGAGTTTTCATAAACTTGAGGTGTGAGAGTATCAGTGTATCGACACGGTTTTCTCCAATAGAGTGTGTGTGCGTCCAGCAGAGACCAGGGAGGTGGGGGGCGGGGTTGTGTGTGTTATATACACAATTGGAGAAAATACATATATGGCTGTTATGTGATCTTAGATGTGCTGTAGGTTGTGTAGATACCAAATTGCAATGTGTTTGTCTGCATTTTGGTCTTTAGGGTTTCCCCACAAATCTTGGGTAGAGTCTGGGGCAAGATTATAGGGAAACAGTTTTGTATCCCCAGCCCGGACAGTGTCTCCACCATTTTGAGTCACTATGGCCCTTTTTGTGCCTGAGCACCTGCAGCCAATCCTCTGTGGGGGGTGGGGGCTCGTCCATGCTCTGGCAATCACCTCTGTTGCTGGCAGGCCTCCTGCACAGGGGCTGGCGTGCCCAGAGCCCACACTTCGCCCGTACCAGGCACTGGTGTCTTCATCCATAGCTCCAGGCACCAGATGCTGGCTGTCAGCCTTACAAACGTAATGATAATAACCATAGCTACCACTTGTTGAGCCCTTTCTCTGCGGGGTGGGTGCTATGCTAAGCCCTTTACATACATTACGTATGTTTAAACTTTTTTTTTTTTTTTTTTAAAGATTTTATTTATTTTATTTTTTCCCCCCAAAGCCCCAGTAGATAGTTGTATGTCATAGCTGCACATCCTTCTAGTTGCTGTATGTGGGACTCGGCCTCAGGATGGACGGAGAAGTGGTGCCTCAATGCGCACCCGGGATCCGAACCCGGGCCACCAGCATTGCAGCGCGCGCACTTAACCACCAAGCCACAGGGCCGGCCCTGTTTAAACTTTTTAACAACCTGTAAGGAACAAAACAATTATCCTCATTTTATAGATGAAGATGCCTGGACTAAGAGGCTAAGTACCTTGAACCCAAAACCTCTGTTTCCAAAGCCTCTGTTTAACCCAATACTACACTTCTCAAATCATTTTCCATGCTATCTATAGATTAGGTAGGAAAAGATGAACTACTAGAGAAAAAAAAACGAAAACAGAGCAATTATTCCAGTCCTCTCTCCTGGAAAGGAACCCCATGAATGTCCATGGAATTCGTCCCTGCATGTTCCTCTACAGCTAGGATCTACATTTATGGAGTCCTTTACATCCATCACCTCATTTGCTTATTACAAGTGCCCTTTCCAAATGCAAGAGGTGGGATGGTACCCTTTTCATTATTATAGATGAGAAAACTGAGCCTCTGTTCTTGAATTCTCGTGGGTAATCCCAAAAGTATGATTTTGAAATAAGCTTTTCTTTTCTTTCCTAGAAGACCACAAACAGAATGGGCAGGATAAGGACTCTTCCGTAACAAGACAATGAAGCCACTTCTGAACCAATGCCTGGCCACCCGCTCCCACCCCGGGAGGCCGAGGGGTGGGGGGGGGCAGTAAGAGTCTCTTTCCTGTGGCTCTGGCCTTTATTCTTTTTTTTAATTGACCAATTTTTAGTTTTGAAGAAAAAGGCAAAAGAACGTGGATTTGAGATTTATAGAAAACGATACCAGTGTTTGGTTTCCGTTCTTTCATTTGCCACGTGTACACCTTCTTCCAAGTTTGGGGTCACCCCTCTAGCTTCTCATTCTCCTGCCACACCTTCGTTGTGCTCCAGCCACAAAGCAGACACTGCAGAATGTCAGTCCTGGTTGGCGTCGTCTGAAACTCTGGAACTTCAGCACATGCAGTGCCCTTTCCTTGTCCTCTCCCACCCATCTCTTCCATCCCCTCTGACCTGCCACTCCCTGAGTCCCCACTGGCCATCAGAAGGAGCTGGCTCCCACAGGATCCCCTCTGGACGGTGTGCTGGAGGAGGGGGATTTGCTGGGAGGAGCCTGTGTTTGGGGAGCCGAGAGCAGAGAGCTGGAGGGTGGGCCGGATGCCCTCATCAGATTTCTGTGGTGCCGCACGGCGGGAGCCAGATGCTATGGGCAAAATTGAGAACAGCAGCCATTTAATGATGTGGTTGACCCAATACCGCTGTCCAGCTATGCAGCTCAGAGAGGATACACTGGGTCAGAGACGGGGGCTGGAACAGGCCCGGGAGGAGGTGGCAGGAAGCAGAGATGAGGGCGGGGGAAGATATCCCTTAAAAGATGTGGGAAGTGGGTGACTGTGGTAATTTGAGCTTGTTAGGAATCCATGCGCAAAATCCTTTCCAGGGCACCGTGCACAGGGACGCAAGGCAGGGCGAGCCAGAGAGGGAGGAATCCCAGGGAAAAGGGCACGAGACCCCAGGAAGCCACTCAGGAGGAGGCACAGTGCCCACAGCTGTGGAAGCTCTCAGGCTGCCCTCTTGGGCTAGGCAAGTGGAGAAACAGCAGAGGAGGAAGTAAGGGTCTAGGGGAAAGCTCCCATGGGGGCCTAAGTGTCAGACTTCTGGTGATGATACATACTAGCATTGCCCACCCACCTCCGTGCCCTGGGCCACAGGGCCCCATGGAATCGGCACCTCCGTAATGAGCTTGTGCTGGGTCATCAGAGGCCCCAGCTCAGATACAGCCACCGCAGGAAGGGGCGCTAGGGCCGAGCCACCGCTTAGCGGGGAAGAGCCATTTATTTGGAAGCGCCCGAATTGAGGAGCTGGAGGCCTGCAGCTCTGAAAGTGTTCACACTGGAGTTTTGACAGAAAGCAATACCCTAAGCTCTGATGGGGAATCAGTCAGGAAAGGAATTCACGATATAAAATAGGTGTTCTGTGCGATTCATCATGTGTCTTTGCATACGAGATAATGGCAGAGATCCTAGGAGGTTTTGCTTCATCCCTAAACCGAAAAGGAATGCCAGTTTTGCAGCTGGACACAAACCCTCGTCCCCACCCTAAAGTTTTCCTTTTCTTTCCCATCCGCCCCAACCCAAAGATCAGACTACTGTTAAGTTTCACCACACGATTGGATTTTGCAAAGACGGGAGGCAAACGGAGTGATTTGCATCAATGGAATTGCACTGACAGTGTTTCTTATAGGATACTAAAATTTTTAATATAAAATGAAGATTTTTTTAAAAATCAGGAGTTGATATTAGGTACCAGGACATTAGTTCAGATGATTTCATTTTTATTTCTGCAGTGTTAAAAGTGCACTTATATGCCGGTTTATTTACGTCTTGGGAAAAAGAGACTGCAAATTGAAGGGAAGATTGTTACTTTTTCTTTTTTTAAAAAAAAAGGTTAAGGCAGATTTTAAGACTTATAAATGTTTAAGAAATTATAAACAAGGTTAGACCCTTTGGAAAAAAGTTTAGAAGATATTCTTAAAAGTAAATTTTTATAGTGTTAATTTTGTAATAATTTATGTTTTACTATATTACAGAGCTAACTGACCAGAATAGTTTCAGAAACAATATGAAACTTAGGAAAGTTTAAGCAATGTTTATATTTTTAAAATGTTCTTTGAATTATGTTTTTATTGTACATTTCTTCAGACTGAAAAGTATGTACATATCTTTGTTACTTTTGCACAATTTTTGTCTTGTTTGGTTTTAGAAGTCTGTTGTTTTTTTATAATTTATTTTGAGTTGTAAAACTTGCAGGAGTAGAAACAAAACAAAAAAATCTCAGCAACAAAATAACCCTCTGAATTATAAACTTTTACACTCAAAGAGGGAAAAAATACAGGTTGAGAGATTAAGTGGCTGCTTCTGAGAAATAATGTCTCGACAGGGACTAAAGGAGCAATTCATGGGTTTAAACATGTTAGCTCTCTACATATTGAATTGCAAGCTGGAATAAAGAGGCTCCCCCACTGAATGCTGCTTACTTGGTGAAAGACTGGCTCTAACCAAGGTGAGGACATTTCTGGAAAACAGCAAAAAGGGAAAACCCACGGTGTCTCTTCCTTCACAATCCACCACAGGCTACGTTATATGATGTATTAAAAACTCACAAGTTGAAAAATGGAATGCAAATAAAAGGTTTCCTTTGGGTTTGTTTTCATGGAGTTCAACTGGACCAGCCTATAAAGCGTTTTTAGGGTGGTATCCTTTGGGTACTTCTGTTCCGCACACCCCACTCAGCCCTCTCTCCCAGCCCCTTGACTGCACACACCCCCATTTGCCTGACGATCTTGTGACTTGTCGCCAGCCAGAGAGGCTCGAAAGCTCTGGTGGTTAAGCATAACGCAATGCATAGACCTGTCAGCCATAAAAAAAGCGACCTGGATAACTTGTATGCCTTCTTTTGTATCAATGTACCAATTGTAAATAACGCTGATCAACCTTTGTAGAGAATAGTTTATACAGCAAATTCTATTATTGCTGATTCTCAGTGAACTCTTGTTTTAAAAAAGGAAAAAAAAGAAATTTTCTATTTACACCTTATATTTTGTTATGCTGTCGGCCCATGGCACTTTAACAAAACTCTGTGGGTTTTACGTAGCTGGTCAGTCATGGGGTATATTAAATAACTGTTGTTGCACAAACGAGAATTTGCACCTGCTCATTGTCCTTTCCTACTACCAATTTTAGAACCCTTTTCCAGAAAAATTTTGAAGAAAGCATGTCCAGACATTCGAAACAAATACCACACTTGTGGAGTGGGTTTCTTTTCTACGATCCATATTTTGTAACACTAAGTATTTCCCTTTGTCCAGCACCTTTATGTATTAGCACTATCAGATAGAATTCATTCCATGCCTGTGATATTGTAAGCAGAATCAATGTCTCAAGTAGGTGTAAATAGTAAATTCTATGGCTTACAGTTTTAAAGAGGAAAGAACAAACATGTATCTATCGATACTGCCGTGGTTCAGCACCAGGCCTGGAGACATTCTCCGGTGAGCGATTGTACTTTTTTTTTTTTTTTTGTAACATGGCTTTGTAAATAAAATAATTTATATGTTTGTAAAACAGTCTTCGGGTTTTCATAAAATGTAGATTTCTGTTCATTTGTTTTTCTTTTGGGTGAAAGCGTTCTCAGCAGACGAGCCTTCCTGCTAGAACACACGTTTGAGGTGTAGAAGAGAAGACAGTGAATTCATTCCACAAGTATTTATGGAGCATCCTGTCTGTGGCTGCCCCTGAGCCAGGCGCTCTGTGCTCAGTGATGAGAAATAGACACAGTCACAGCTGCTTTCTGGAAGCAATCCCATGGGGGAGACAATAAATAAATAAACACAATCAAATCTGTAATTACAGATTGTGGCAAATGCCATGGTGGAAAGAATTGAGTTCTATGACAGAGAAAATAACAGGAGAAATGGACATAAAACGAGTGAGGGGGTTGCTGTCAGGGAGTTCCCTCAGGAAGTGAGCTGAAGGCACAGAGTGTGAGGGACAGAATCCCAGGCAGAGATGGTCCCTTGGTAAGCTCTTGAAGCCTAAGATCCATTGTGGACAGCAGGGGGAGAGAGATGGACAGAAGGCATGGCAAGGTCACAAAAGGCCTCACAGAGTTTGGATTCTGTGCTCGATTCAGTGGGAATCCTTTGAAGGGCTTTAAGTAGGGGCATGGAATGATCAGATCTGTTACAAGATCACTCTAGCTGCTGTGTGCAGAATCACTTGGAACCTATTGCAAGAGACCAAGTGAGACATAACGTTAGTGTGGCCCCAGGATGATGATAGTAGATATAAAGAGAAGTGAATGGATTCAAGATATATATTACATATTAAATGGACAAGACTTGCTTAGGAATTGGACGTGAGAGTAAGGGAAAGCATGACTCCCAGGTTCCTGATAGAGCAATTGTATTGGGTAGAGATGCATTTCTTTAGATGTGGAAAACCAGAGGACTTCTTTTAGGAGGCAGACAGGAGGAGTGTTTCAAGAAGATCTGAAGTTCTGTTTTGTGAATGTATGTTCGCTCATGTGTGAGATTACTATGAAACACCTAGGCTGCTATGTCAGGAAGACGTATACACACGACTGAGCGAGCAGCAGGTCTAAGTTGGGGGCATCAATTTGGGAATCTGTAGTGTATGGATGATATTTAGAGCCACAGGTATGGATGTGATTACTTGAGAGAATGTAGGGAGAGAAGAGCAGACGTTTAGAGGGTAGATGGAAGCAGAGAGCTAGTAAAGAACCCTAAGATGAAGCATTCACAAAGAGAAGAGAGAACCCAACAGAAAGAGGCTCCCTGGAAGCCAGGCTGTGAGATGTTTCAAGGAAGGAACAGTCAACTGAGTCAAATACTGCTGCAGGTGGAAGATAGAAATGGTATCGTGTCTGGGATTTTGCGACATGGTCATTGGTGACTGTTTTCTAGGATTGCCAGAACAAATTACAACAACTTGGTGGCTTCAAACAACATAAATTCCTTCTGTCAGCATTCTGTAGACCAGAAGTCCAAAATCAAGCATGGCTACATTCTCCCTGAAGGCTCTAGAGGAGAATCTTTCCTTGCCTCTTCCAGTTTCTAATGACAAGGAATGCAGTCGTTGGCATTCCTTGGCTTATGGATGCATCACTCCCATCTCTTCCTCCATCTTCACACGGCCATTTCTCCTGTGTCTCAAATCTCCTGCCACC